TGACCCTGTGATGTTTTGGGGCAAATACCTCTTTTATACTGTCTTATATGTTCTTGTAGTGTGGGTCAGAATTATAAAGGCCAGATAAAAAATGCTTTGGGATATGCTCAGATATGTGAAAACCAATTTTGCCCTTCTCTTGTGTGCATAAGGGGTTGTGACAATAGAGGGCTTGAAAGTGAAATAACCCAACTAAGTTCATCTTTTGAAATGTCAAGATTCTTCTGCTTTTTCAGAAGAATCTCTCTATGAGGGAATGTGGTGCAGATTCAGGTACTGAAAGAGACCTCCTACACTTCTTTGTATTTTACAAGGAAGTGTTATAAAAAACATAGACCATAAGTGTTTTAATTGTTATTATGCAGTGTTTCTCTTTGCTTGTTCAATACAATTAATTAATTTTTACATGAGGAAGTATAGTAGAGGGAAGACAATGGTTCAAGAAATCCGTCTATAAACTTATAAGGCATATTGAATGACTCACCATTTAATGTTTAATCCATAACTCTTATATGATTATTACAGTATTTGGCAATATTGACTCTCAGTTTAAGCAGCACTTTTGTTGACATGTACACACGTAAATTGGGTAGTTTGTCAACTTGAATGGACATTTAAATGTTTGTCAACAAGACTTATACAATAAAATATGACAGTGAGAAGTTAATTGATTAATATTTTAAATGTATTTGATAATCAGTTATGTTCACATTAACCATCCCACTTTCTGCTTTCTTGTAATCTCCATCTTTGCGTGTATGTATAAAAAGACTGTCCTTATTGCTCCATAGATCATACCCTGAATTTCAGAGTTAACAGATGGCCTTTGCTAATTCCAGTAACTTACTGTTACTGCCAATGTAACTGAAAACAGCAGTGGTGTACTGATAATAGCTGATGGTTCATGTGCAGTTTACTCTAAAGATTCTTGGGGCAACTGCTGTGATGTTATACCACAATCTGTCTGTAAACTTATTTTGAAATTGTTACTTTGGTCTTTATAAATACTGTCTTTATAGGTTAATATATTTGTTTGATCAGAGACAAATTATAAGTTTTTGTACATTAATAAATAGCTGTATATTTTATGTCTCATGAGGCCTATTGATCAGTGTAGCCTTAGCCTTAGGTGGATAACAGGCCACCCTTTATCAGCTACCTGCTGTAGTAGGCTGAAACTATGGTAGAAAGTTAAAAGAGTCAGTGCCAGTTCTTTGAAATGCAGGGTACTTTTATAGGCTGAACTGAAGTGTAGTGATAGGGATAAGATATGCCATTTTAAGGTCTTCCCAGTTGTCTGTATTCCAAGAAGGTGATTAAATTACAACAGAAGTTGAGCAAGTAAGAGGAACATGATGGAAAGTCAGACATCCTATCACATCATATCCAGGAGATTGGATGTCTTCTTCCTAATAGGTTGAACTATTTTAGTCTGTAAAGTGTCTTGGGTACAGCTGTATGTCTTCTCCATGTGCTCTTCTTCACTTCCCGACAGGTGCTTAATTCACACCAGCTATTAATAGCATAGTGTGTGTGTGTGTGTGTGTGTGTGTGTGTGTGTGTGCGCGCACATGTATGTATGCTTGTATGCGTACTAGTACATGGGTTCCAGTATGTTTTCATACGATTCCACATGCTTCAGAACCTTTTTCAAATGTGTGGAACTTTTTTTTACAAATTTAAGTGCACTAACTTTACCTATACTTAAAATGCAGCAGAGTACATACAGGTTATAACTCGAATCACTTTTCCCATACATTATTATTTAGCTGTTAACCAGTTTAAGCTGTTTGTCCTCTTGACACTAGTACAATTAGCCTTACTAGTTCTTGTATCATCCTAAATCTAGATTATACCTGTAGAAAGGTTCTATTGTCTCTTTCTAATCTGGTAATCAGTTGATCCGGGTAAGGTGAGTTTTCAGTAGAAAGTTGATCACCAAGTGTGAACTAGTGCATTCGTGTGTCTGAATCTTTAATGCTGATTGTTTTTAGTCACTCATCTTTATATCATTACTGGTAAACAGATTTTCACTGATTGAGGTGAGCTTTTGATTGGGCCTTTTATCTGCATTCTAGACATTTTAGACTTACTATATTTACTGGCACAGGCAAGGATTGTGTACATATATTTTGGTGTTTATTGTTATATGGAGGCTTATATATTATCTGGTTTTTCAAACCAGTTATATTAGTTTGATGGTAGAGAGTTGAGGTTTAATGTTAAATGTTTAATGTTTGTTGGAATTATTTTAAAAAGCATCAGGTGTTACCAAAGCTTCTCCATAAATGGTTTTTGCGCCAGTTTTCTCCTTTTCATAAATCATTGCTTTGACAACCTATCTTTGCAATTTAATAACTATTTAATACAAGTCATAATTCATTTAGACCACCGTAGTCTTCCTAATATCTAAAAAGGCAATTTTGACACCAAATACTTTTATTACTGTTGAGAGAATCCATGATATTTAGTACATTAGTGTGTGTGTGTGTGTGTGTGTGTGTGTGTGTGCTGTAATTGCCTTCATTTAACTACATCATTACTCTGTATTGCTGTCACATGGATTCCAGGTTGTCTTATTTATCAACACTGTGTAACCACAAACAGTTCTGTGATAGCCTTACATATCTATTATCAGTGTATTATTGTCCATATCAGTGCCTTATTGTCCTTCCTGTTGATAAATTCATTGGACTTTAATTACTTCAGGAAATGATTAAACATTTATGGCCATGAATATGCAATAACAAAGTAGATTGTAAAAGTACAGTTATGTGTAGTAGGCTTACACATCCATGTATATATGTCTATGTATACATATAAAAACAATGAAATGGAGATTATTCTGGAGGCAGTGTGAGAGATATTTCATATACATTAATGTGGTTACTGAAGTGCGTTATTATTGAAACTTAAGGAATGTTTCAAGTCTAGTTGATTGCAACCTATCTCCACAGACTTTAGCTATTTAGTCAAACTGTCTAATGACATATCTCTTTTAGCAGTGAGGATGACAATAGATAAGATTTTTTAAAATCATGTTTATTTATTCATGTGGCCCTGCACAGCACACTGCCATGTTTGTGATAGCAAATGATTTTTGTCCTAAAATTTGTGTGGGGTGCTTGATTTTGTCATGGCGGTGACCTGACACAGAGATAGTATTATAACAATAACTATGAGGGCAAAAATAGCATTTAGCAAGAACCCTCCAATTTGGAAAGACATATGGGAAAAACTGGTATGAAGTATTTGATGAAAATAGATTTTTATTGCATTTCCTGTATTTTTACCCTTAATGCCTAACGTCAGCTGCGCAATTTTAATTGAGAATGCCCTTTTGGAATATGTTTTCCAGATTTTTTTCCTTTTGAATTAAATTTATAAAATTTACCTTAAAAAGTCTCTGTGGGTGATTTTTAGAAATGTTTTCAATGTTTTTTTGAGTACATTAGTTAAAATGTTTTACACATGGCATGAATTGAACGTTATGTGATTATAACAGTACCAATTGTAATTTGGTTTATTTTGGCTGCTACCTGTTATCTTGGATGCATGTAGTATGTAACATTGTTTTAAATGAGTAACTTAAATGCTCCGTCATCTTGTTAAATGTTGATATTTCAGTGTGTTTTTCTCTTCCCATATACTCAGTTATGTAAGAATGCAACTTCGCACACTACCAGTCATGCATCATATAGGGAACACAAGGCGAAAGAGAGAAAAAAGTGAGAAAAGAGAGAAAAAATTAGAACAGAGCTCCATTAAGGTTACACAACATGTCCTATTACACTGTGAGTGACATCCTCGTTAGATTTTTGTGTCACTGAATGTTACGGACTTGCCACCTTGCATGACTAACAGGTTCTTGTACCATTATTCAGATAGGTGTATTTATTAGAGAAAAAAATGAGTAAGGAGAAAAATATGCAACACAACCTTCGCTGTTATTTGTTTACCATTTTGTTGTTGAGCCAGGTTGCTAAGACTGTGGTTCCAGTTTTTATTAACTAATTAAAGTTAAACATAGCAGAGGCTGTATGCAGACTATATAAAGTTTCAACTGAAATTTTAATGTTTATTTTGTAGAAGGCTTGGGTAACGTAGCAAATTTACCTAACTTTGGTGGCTTTCATTTCTAAATTTCCTATTGAAAGCATACCTCTTTAAATGTTTTTCTTGAATGATTCTGAAATCCATTCTTACTTTCTTCGGCATAACTCTGTTACTAAACCACAAATAATAATAAGCATATTAGAAGCTAAACATGATGAGGAGAGAGATGCTTTGAAAAGAAATAATTAAACTTTTGCCCATAGATGGGCTTCTAAATGTCAGAAACCAACAGACAAGATATAGTTCAAACCTCAGCTCCTATGCTATAAGAATTTCTCTCTAAATAAGATAGAAAGGGTTCATTATTTTCTATGTAACTCACTCAGGAATCTTCACCTGTCTAAACAGCAGATTTGCCATCAGGTGCAAGCCCTCTTTAAAATAAGCACTAAAGACGATCCAATTTAGGTGAAAGTGTTCTCAGAGCATACCTGATGCCCAGATAAATATTTCATCTTTTTTTTTGCTACAGTGAGTCTGAGTTTGCTTATTATCAAATGCCAGTGCTTAATCTGTGTTTATTATTTGATCTCAAAACTGATAATGTTTAAGGAGAAGATTTATTTTGATGTGCATTTTGTTTAGGCTACTGCTATTAAAGATCAGTATCAAGGCCTGGTTTTTTCATCTCTTGAAAAGTGAGTTTCAGGCAAAAGGAAAAACCAGCAGAAGAATAGTTGTAGATTCCTTAAATAGGAGAAAAGGGGATTTTTTTTATAGATATGTTTTATACGAAAATATTAAAGAAAATTTTTTTGGAGTATAGTTTTTTTGAAAAGAATGTAAAGAATTGTCCTCCTTTATCTGACTTGAGTTCAAACGTTTAGTTTGGTATTTAATATTTATTCTGAATGAATAAATTGGCTCTTTTTACTACATTTCAGGCTGTCACAAGAAAGAAGTTTGCTTATCCAGATGATCCCAGGAAGTCCTTTGAAAATGGAGTACTTCTTTGCGAGTAAGTCTTACCAAATGAGATTCACATTTTCAGTTACATATGAATAATTCAGTGGAAGCCTCTCTGAAATATGATCAACATATTATTCTAAATTTTTTACTTTTGATTTTGCCCAAGTCTATCTGAGCATTTATAGTTTAGATTTGCGTAAAGTGCAATTTGGAAGCAGAATTTGCACTGGTAATTGCATTTATGGGGGTTTTGATATGGGGTCTCAACTACAGCAATCTCACCATTGTCTCACCTGGCACAATCATTTTTGTAAGTAGTTTAAACAATCCTTTCAAATGTTTTTCTGTGGTTGTCTATGGAGAAAAAGGAAATATTGTATTCAAACAAGATGAATTTATTATTTTTTTCATTGTTTGTTGTACAAATCATGAAACTGTCTCTTAAGAGACTTATTTCTTGTATAAAAACTGAAAGATGTATGATCAAGTCTCCTTGATGGCAAGTTCAAATGTCTGCTTCTCAGACAAAACCTGTATAGTCTTCCTGGAAACAATGTACTTTTTATCATTCATTCAAAGAGTTGAAGAACTTTTGATAGGAATTATTTAAATAATTTAAAAAAAGATTCAGAGTAAAGTTTCTTTTTTAGTTCTAAATCCCAATCCTAGTCTGATTGTTTTGAAGTGTCACACATTGGCAAATCCATTTCTTTGTCAAGTTATCAAACATGTCAAGTATGTTTAGAAACAGTGGTTTATTTCTTATGGGCAAACATGAAGACTAACCTTACTATTAATTAAATGCCATTATACATTTTTTTGTGACAAGGTGATACGTTTGTCCCTCAGACATATCTCTTTTTCCACAGCACTCAGTAATTCTTCCTGCTAATCTAATGATAGTATTGGGTTTCACCCCCAGGGGGCAACATAGAATAGAACATAAAGGATAATATGTCGTTTTAAATTTTTTGACTTACAGCATTTAATTTGGTGACCTTGGTAGGTGACATTATCTTCATGTGCCACCCGTTAGTCAGTGTAAAATTGTTCTTTAAACTTTGCCTGTAGTCATATTTTGACCCCCCCCACACACACACACATACAGTAAATATACAAAATGTATGTAATATAAACAAGTGTCAAAAGTGTCTTTTTTTTTGTTTAGAAAAAGCTTGATTTCAGGATGTCCTATTAAGAAACCAGCAAAAGAGAAACACATGAAAGAGAAAAAAAAAATGAAAACTTCAGGAAACCAATTTAAATTCTTCTTCTAGTAAGATATTTAAAGAGTCATCATATTCTGGTCTGTTGTGCCTTGCAGTTGGAAGGATTATAAAAGTACCTCACAGCAGAAATGATCTTTCTAGCACTGTGGATTAGTCATAAAATTATAATCATCACAACCTAAATTTTATTTTGGAGTCTGATGTCATGTGGTGTCTGGTTTCATAAATAAAGTAGGTATCTTTTTCGAAATTTTAAGACCTGCAGACCAAATACCACAAAATGGCCCAGAATGTGACCTGAGGGGTGTCAGTTTTTTTTGACACTAATGGGGTCTTATTAGCCGGGCTTTAAAATATATGGTTGTGTACAAGGGAGTGTACCCCAGTAGAGGAATATCTGTATCTTCAGGGTTGAATCTTTTTTTTTTTATCTCCAAACATTGATGGTGTCACCAAAATAACCAAAGGAAAAACATAACCATGCCTGGTCTTTCCACAGTTGCCTGAAATTACAAACTTTGGCTATGAAATGAATAGCAAGTTAAGTTTCTTTTTGGAAAATTTTTCGATGAATTATATTTATCTGGTACTATGAAGTATTGGAATGGTTCTGAAATTGGATATATATCTATTGCTTTTTTGATGCTTTTTAAACTTGGTATATTATTCAAGGATTGAATTTGCTTCACTATGAAATCAAAAATTTGTCCCTTACATTTCTCAATATGGTATCTTTTTTATATGTAAATCTCATGCAGGTCTGCAGATATCATATATCTTTTACAAGTATATTATTACAGTAATGCTACACTGGATATCAAACTCAAGAGTTCAAAGTATTTGGTTCAGCATTCTAATTGAAAGTTATGGTAATGTGACACTGGAAAATTGAATCCAGCATGTGAATTTACAATATTTTGATACAGATACTATTATAAAAAGAAAATTGTGATAACAATATAACTTTGATATCAAAAAGTAAAGCAGCAGGAAATCTCATTGTCAGTATCAATGGTATTTCAGACATATGACCCCGCTGCCACCATCACGGTGTAGGAATTCAGTTCTTCCATTTATAAAAAAAAAGAAATGTTACAATTTATCAGAAATATATACTAAAGATTTAACTGAAGTTGAGAACCAGGTGGGGGTGAGAACCAGATTGTAGAACATGCCTTGCCTTGGTTCTTCTGCTGTGTCATGCAACCCCCCCTCCCCGCCCTTTTAGCCATTGATGCTATTTTTTGATGTAATAAATTTTCTGCGCCTATGAAATGCATGTGTCAACAGCAGTCACGAAACATGATCAATCTTGTAAGTTTTTTATAATTTGACAGGTTACTGAATTGTCTTCGTCCAGGGAGTGTGAGGCGTATCAACCGGTTGCCAACGCCCATCGCTGGTATTGTAAGTAAACACGGTCTTTTCTCTTTTTCATTAAAAGGATAAAAAAATGATGTAAAGTTTTGCTGCTGTCATATATTCGAGGCTTGACAAACCATTTATAGATGAAGCAACTATTATTGATACTATTAATTTGTTATTGATCATTTACTGTGCTGATTTAATATAATTGTAACACATCCTTGTTTTACATATTGCTTTCAACATAAGATTTCATGTTATTTGTGTAATTTAGTAAGATTGTATTTCAGTAAGACACATATATTCTCAGTGTTTTCTTTAGATAAAGATGACCACAATAAGATGATATTCAGCACAGTATAACTCATCATTGCCAAATGTTAGTTTATATGAATGTATCTATTGCAGGTACCCTTGTCTCAGAACACATGAGATGCATAATGTTTTTGTTTTTTTTAGGTCAGATGAGATTTGATTTTATACAGTGTGATATTCTTTAAAAAATGCCACATTGAGCGATTGAAGATTTGACAGCAGATGGTGAAGCTTTCTGAAACCGTTTTGTAATGTTACAAAAAAAAAAAAAAAAAAACATAATAGAAAAAGAAAAACTACTTCCAAATCTAGCATTGCATCACATATAATCCAAAATTTAGTTCAGAAATTATAATTTTCAATGTTAGATATGAAGACAAATTGCTACCATCTGCTGTAAAAGTATGATAATACTCTAAGAAAGGGTTTCAGGGTAAAGAACATACAGCTGCTGTCTGGATATTAAAACTTTGTATTCACCTTGTTTAAAAAGATGCATTTGTTAGGCAAACTGTACTTTGACCTCTTAGCCTTAGTTTGGTGAATGTATAGATATTCACATGATATGTTAAATATGTTGTTTATTTTTGAATCCTTTAGTCATCATCTTAATATTGATTATGCTCCTGGGGATATGTATCCTGCTTTCCATTTCGTTTATCTTCTTGTTTTGATTAATGCAAATATACTCAAGTAGCATCTTAATTGTAATTCATTTTGTAGGTCATTAATTAATTAAAAGACTTGTGATAATTGTCTGGATTATGATAGATATTAATTTACCCTTGAATATGGTCTATAGCTAGCTGACAGAAATCTTCAGGTCTTGTCACACGTCATATGACAAACCTGTTGGTCGGTGACAGCAGGTGAAATATGCACTTCATTGTGTGTGTGGACTCCATTCCTTAGATCTCATCTCAGATAAATCAACCTCATAATTCTTTGATGACAAAACGGCTGCAACAGGGGGCAGGGGGCAGGTAGCATTTCAAAGCTTTAACCCATTATATATTTCAGTACACAGGACAAATATTTCTGATGATTCATTATGTGCAGCATACCCTCCAACTTTTTTTCTCTTTTTTTTTTTTTTTTTGTTAGGAAGTGGTGACTTCTAATGGCATTTTAAATGAGTTTTATTTTTTTTAGAAATCATTTTGTAATATGATGTGATATGTTTGCTAGCAGTATGAATAAAAAAAAATTAATACATTCTAGAAAATACTTATAATTGGAGCCTGATATTTAGAAAATCCATGCTAGGAGCAAGGATTGCTGCCATTTAGAGGCCTGGTCATGTTTTTGTGTTGATTATATGCTGTGATCTGCAAGTAAATCCAGGTGCTTCAAAAGTCAACACAAATCCTTGCTGACTGAGGCAACACCCAGTCCAGGTAAGACTGTTGGGGAGACACCTGTCAGCCAGAAACAGAACTACAACTATTTCCCCTCCCATGTTCAAGATCAGTGGAAATGATTGGGATTTGATCCCTCAAGTCGTGTTTTTATAATATAAACCTAATAGTTTTAAGATGTATGTGGTAAAATACACCTAACCTGATATAGGTATCGTTAATTTTTCCAATAATCATATCTGCTAGGTTCAGAATGCTGCATAACTACTCTTTATTGATTGGTTGGTCTCGCCTAAATTGAGGCCCAGTGAAAGTTGTATTGTGTATGAAATACCTGGCATTTTATTGAAAGAAAAGCCAGCGCTGCATAGGTCAACAAAGCCGAGGCAGGCATGCGCAGTGCGAGGCGAAGATTCAATAGTTGCATTGAGCTCTGTTTAGATGCTCTGCTGTGACAGACTGGTAGCACAGTCCAAACAAGGGCTATTAGCGGCCAGGCCAAAGACTGGGGTTTACCTGCTGAACCACACCTACCACTGGAAACATATTTAAGAGTAGGAATTGAGCAAGTTGACGTTTTTATAGACAGTGTCACTGTAATGCCAGCTGACATTACTGACATCATACCTTCATCATTACTTACCTGTGATTTGTTGCAGTGATAATTGCTGATTTACTGTCTGCAGGGTAAGTTTTACTTTGGTACATATTTTCTGTTAAGTACTTATTAGGAGACACACTTATATTGAAGACTTCTTGCGCATAAAGGTAATAATTTTGTGTCATTTATAGCACCCTGCTGTTGAGTTAAAGCCTATTTTGTTACTGTGACATCTTAAAGGACTGATTTGTACATTCTCTTTGAACTGACAGTCGCATAGTTAATGACTTTGATGAATGAAAATTGATGGGCATAATGAAATGCAGTTTTGTCCTAGTGTTGTTGAGGAAAGGTAGATGATGGAAATATGCACATGATTGCAATATAGTTCAACAGTGGGCCTATAGCCAACAATTTCAAACGAGGGTTCTTTTTCACAAAATGACATAGAGCCTTGATAGAACATTTTTTACACAAAAGGACTTAATTTGAACACTGCCCCCCCCCCCCCCCCAAAATATTAAAAAAATTGCTTATGGGCCTGTGACTGCAAAGCTAAACTTTAATAATATAAAGGATAATATACCACTTCATGTCAAACTGTTATCTGAGACTTCTCTACTTCAGGAAAAATTACATGATCATCATCATATATATTTAGACCTCAGCACAAGGTAGTTTTATTCTTAAGATACATGCCATCTGAAACCAGTATTGATCTGCCATTGTGGAGATCAGGTGTTACATGGCTGTAGAAGGTGTCACTCTGCAAGGCAGGCGTGTTCTTGTCAGCCATTTTGAGTGACAATTATGTAACTTATTTATTAAGAGTTAGGGCTGTATATATGTGATTGAGTATGTAATACGACTAGCATTTACAGAAGCAAGAATTGTATTATTTTTTGTGCTTGCTAATATTTTAAACAATAGGCAAAGTGGGAATCTTTTAAACTGAAATGGAGGTGCTTGATGTACAACTCCCAGATAAAAATAGAAAAAAAAAAAAATTAAGGTAGAATTTAATTTGGTGCCTGGCAAATGTTAATAAACAAAGGTTCCATTTAACTTTGAAAGTAGGTTCCACTTTATGAAAGGAACTGCATGATACCGGAGCAGAAATGATTGATAAATATGTTTTGTGTTACCTGAGTGGACTCCTGATGAGTAAAAATAATATTTGTTTTGACTTGATAAATCATGGACATTTGTGGTAAAGGGAAACAAAGGTGATATGTATATATATCTATATATACCTATTTATTTGTATTCATATTTATATATATATATGTTAATAAATAACTTTGTAGCAGCAGTCAGAAGTGAAATATTCTCCTGTATGTAGGAGTAAGCATGACGAGCTGCATTAGCTAAGAGAAAGAGTCCAAGTTAGGGCAGACATTGCTGAGCTCATCATGAGAAGAGGACATTTTGGATACTTTCTCACATGTTTTTGTCTGGATGTTTGATGTGAAGTGATTTGTTTGTCACAGATGGCCCTGGCAGTTAGACTGACACATGCAAAGACAAGTATATAAGTGGTTATAAAACTTCATTTAGATTGAGTAGAAAGAAAGGACTATTTATTTTGAGAGTGCTGCTCTTTGAAAAGACTAAATTATTTTTAAAAACCAGCTGGTTGCACAAGTTGTTATTGTTAACTATTTTAGGTACATTTGTATAAAGTCTAAAATGTCAAGTAATAGACAAATTTAAATTTACAAGAAAAAAAAATGAAAGTAAGCATGCTATATGTAATGTATGTCTTCTGCAATAGGATGATACAAAATGAGGACAAAATTTTTTGTATAGAAATGGTTCTTTATCCTTGTAATTTAGGATGAGAAGGTTTCTTTTACTTTAATGCCAATAAACTCTAAAGGATGAGCTGTCAGTGATTAAAATAGATCAGCTCATAAATATATTAGCAACAAAACTGTGAACACACTCATCCCTTTATTCAATGCTGGCCACAAGTAAGCTGATATGACGCCTCAATCAGGAGGGCGGGGCAGGTCTCAAAGGCCCACTGTGAAGACATGCTCAGTAATAAAACATGCACTTTTTTTTGTTGAATTGACCACCTCATTTATCCACCGTCTCTTACTGTGTCTGCTGTCTGCTTGGAATTCCCCCCTGGTCATTAGAGGGTAAAAGGTTAGACCTGGACATCAACGGCCCACTGGACCCGAGCAGAATTTTTTCCAGGGGCGGAATTTTTAGTAACTGAAAGCATTAAAATTACAAAAAGGAATGGAGAATTAACTTCAGTTTAATGTGGGGTCATGACAAATGATCAAATTTAATATACATGAAGTAAGGGGCAGGTCCTAGACTGGTCCAGCTGAGTTTTCTGATAAGGGAGTCTGCATTTGTGACATATGGCCATAATAGACTTGAAATGGATACTCAAATTTCAAGAGATTTTAATGACGTTGACGACTCTGTATTGAATATATATTTGATTTATTTTGTTGCATGAATGGATCCTGATTCAAAAAATAAATAGATGTTATGTAGATGGTATAAGTAATTAGTTTAACCAGTGGAAAAGTCGGGAACTTGAGTTGAGTCTAATTATTAGATTTGAATGAGGAACTGGTTTTTAAAAAAATGTTAAATAAACTTTTATAAATGAGGTGTAAAAGACAAATTTGTGTCTTTAGTCAGGAGTATTGACTCATGACTATTCATTTCATTGGTGTCCATGTGATATATCCACAAAGTCTGTAATTCAGAAGAGACTTGATCCAAAATATTTGGCATAATAA